ATCTCTCTCACTCTCTAAACATGTTCTTTCACTTCTATAATGTAATTTTGTCTTATGTATTATCATTTTCATCTTGATCACCTTTCATAAGCGCCTCATACCTACCACTTTCATCTTGCTGGCACCTCTTGCCTACACACCCCAGTGATGTCGGCTCCTCTCCTCTTCAATAAGCCATCTATACGATCTATACCTCCAATTCCTAGTTTGACCTGGCCTGACTTTTCAACTCCTAATCTAATTTAACCTGACCTGACCTTTCAGCTCTTAGGCTACATGCTTGACCTAGCTCAACCTGACCCTTCACGTTCTGATCTAAATGCTTGACCTGTCCTAACCTCGGGAGAGACGTACTCCTTGAGCATGGAGTGTTCCTCTTGGCGCTGCCTGACCTCTGCTGTTAAACCCGGCAGGTCACCTCCAGTAGTTCGCCACATCCATTCCTGCCAGATGCAGAAAATAGTGAATAATTCAGTTCCTTTCTCTACGGAGAGGATAAAATAACGTTGGAAAGACAATAAATACAATGAAAAGATAAAACCTAACAAAAGCAGGTGACAAATTCAACCGAGTAAGAAGTTTCATAATAAGAATTTAATTATTAGTTAAACGCTGCTCACTTTTAAGTTCCTTTATAGATATTACAGTTTAAGAACATAAGAATGGAGGAAACTGCAGCGGGCCTATTGACCCATACTGGGCAAACCTGTTTACACCCAACCCCTATTGCTCATATAAGCATCCAACCTATGTTGGAGGGTGACTGCTGGCCAAGTAAGTCACGCCGCCACGTCGGTTAAGTTATCCCTCTTTTTTTTCGAATGATTAATATATTGTTTATCTTTTCACGATGTTATGTTTTTACTTGAACATAATCAAATAATCTTACCGTGTGAGGTAAGGGCTTGGAGGTGACGCAAGCGTGGAGGAAAGCGGCAGGGACTTCAGCGGCCTCTTGCTGGGCCAGGCTGTACACATTGGCCTCCACCATCAGCCCCCGCCACCCATCACCCTCCAGTAGGCGTGCCAAGCGTCCCCAGTGTCGTCCTCCCGCGCCCACAACTACGTACACGCCTCCCTGCAGGGTATACCTGGCTCTTTATTACCAGGTACAAGTTAATTTTTCACCGTATAAAATATTTACTCTGCCAAAAGGTCATCATCATTAAGTCAGTGAACAACTCCTCACCTTCCTGTGGCCGACGAGTTTCACAATCCCATCTTCCAAGCTCTTATATGCCTGGTCCTCGGTTGAGTTGTGGGCGTGGTGCTCGGGCGTGTGGGCGTCGGAGTGGTGTGCAGGGTGGTGTATAAGGCCACGAATGTAAGCCACCAGGAGGAAGGTGTTCCATCTTAGGGGCACCGCCAGCCGAGCACGGAAGCATTCTGTTGGAACACTCAATCTCTCTCACACACACAGCCAGAATAGACAAGATAAAAAATCGATTTACCTGTATGTCAAATAAAAAATCACAGCGAGTCGAAGCCCAAATCAACTAAAACCTCATCATCAAAGTCAAAATCAAGGTAATGTTAAGAAATCTGAGTCAAATGCAGTGCAAAATAAACTACCACTAAAAGCTTTTTCTTTGGGGGCAGGGGGGGAGGACTTATCTGTGCGTAATACCAATATTCGTAGAGTGAATGAAATTCCTAGGTTGGGTCTGGACTGTTATTGAGGTAAGGAACAACTTTTATTCTATACAGTGTGTCTCAAACAAGTAGTTTAGGTGTGCTATCAATGAAAAATACAGTATTACCATATACTGTACATACTGTGTATGCTAATCAGTTACGGACAAAAGTCCTTCGACATTTGGTAATATCTGACATCCACTTGAAGGTAACGTTGGTCAGGAGGATTAGAGATAATTTTATATAAATTTTTCCGGTATAATTCACCATGAAAAGGTAAGTTCACTAACTTTAACACAATCACTTATATAATCGATAACCAGATTAGATATTGCCTTGTGCTTGAAAATTTGGGACACAACTATATGAGGCTACTATTTCACGTCATCTTGAGCAAGTAGACACATGAACGCTTGGCCACACATGTAGCTTTAACCTAAACATAATTTAAACTTACTTGAACGACAGGTGGCAGAGACGTGATGTACGTGTGGCCGTGGGATTGGAAAGGGCATGGACCGATTGTAGCCCCCGTAGTGTGGCCGAAGATGGGTGTGGTGGGATGACCTGAGGATGGCTAAGTCAGCCAAAAACACCACACACAGCCACAGTGTCAGCCAGGACTCATACTTCAATAGCTTACGAAACACCATCCGTGCCACCACCGCTAAGTATTGCACCATCCACACTCCCCGCATCCTCCCACACTATCACAACTAATTCACCACTGAAACCTAAATTTCTCCCAGAACTCTATACCAAACTATCCAGTCAGTGGGTAATTTCTTCTGGCTGTACGAAGGAGGGGGAGCAAAAGAAGGCGAATCTGTATGATTTTCTTCCCACCCTCGGCCCCGCCTCCTGCCCACACAGATTCTGGCTCAATTTTCCTGGTGAGGGCCCTGGGGTGTGGTAGAGGACCCGCGGTGTTCATTGTATCTACGTGGTCGTGTAGTAGGTATTCAACCGTACTTGCTTGCGTGTACAAAGCCTGGGTGGAAACTGAGAAGGAAGAGGAGGAAAAACAGGAGAAATAGGAGGAGGAGAAGAGGGAGAGGAGGGGCAGCAGGAGAAGATGACGTGGATGGGTAGCAGGATTAGGAAGAGGAGGAGAAAAAAACAGAAGAAGCAACGGGAGGAAGATGAATAGATGTAAGGGCAGCAACAGAAGAAGGCAACGGGAATGAAGGAGATAACCAAATGAAACTCAGGAATAGTTCAAGATGCAGTAGGACATCACCAGTAGTAGTCGTAGCACTAGTAGTAGTAATAATTGTAATAGTCGCTGGAACTGCAAATCATTTTTCATTTTGCCGAACTTGAATAATTTAATTAGATACAGTTAAAAGGCTTGTTGATATATGTATCCTCGATACAACCTCTCACACTTTTATCATCTTCTTAGTTTTTAGTTTAACAAGTTTATTGACAAAGCTTGGAGTACAGTTTGCCTATTCTGAGTAATTCAGTCCGGTCTTGACACTGAGGATGGTATCATTTCTCACTGCCACACAGGACAGAGGTTCATACACAAACTTAACCAACACTGGAGCAGGTTCAGGTTACATTCAGGAGCCGGTGCATGCCCAGTACTTGCCAACAGTGCGTAACAGAGATGTGACCGATCGCCCAAGCGGCTAACGAGTCGATCATTTGGTAAAGAGGATAAAAGTAAAAGTATATTCATTAACAGTATATATATATATATATATATATATATATATATATATATATATATATATATATATATATATATATATATAGTAAATCACCGCAGGTGCGCGTATCAGGTATGCTGATAACCAAGGAAAAAAACAAAGTTAAGCGCTTTCGCGTAATTCACATCTTCAGGGGTGAATACAGACTGGGAGAAATACATAACATATATTTCCTTATTATGTATTTCTCATATATATATATATATATATATATATATATATATATATATATATATATATATATATATATAGGAGAAATAAATATATATATATATATATATATATATATATATATATATATATATATATATATATATATAGATAGATAGATAGATAGATAGATAGATCATGTGTCATGTGGGTGGTACCGTTACTGTTCACTGCCATGCAGGACAGAGGTTCGTACACAAATAAATGCATTATATTCATTAGCAGTATATATAGGTCAGAGTCATGTGGGTGATGTCACTGTTCGCTGCTATGCAAGACAGTGGTTCATATACATTGGACGTCATATTTTAACTGAAGACTAATCAGCGTGGGCTAGCAAATTTTGAATAAACAGCAAGAACACTGATCGGCTCGTTAGCCGCTTGGACGGTTATAGTCACGTCTCTGTAACGCACTGGTTATTATGTAATAAGATTTCATATATACAAGACAATGATTCAGTTCTATACATATGAGTTAATGGTATCCAAATAATTACGATGAGTTATTTTATGGTCATTGCGATACATTAAGAAATAAATCTCCCTAAAATATACAAGAAATACATTACTAGATAAACAGATACCGAATATATATTTTTACTCGATATCTGTTCAACTATAATAGTAGATGTTTTTCTTGTACATTTTAGGTAGTTTTATTTATTACTGTATGATAATGACTTATTTATTTATATATTTGGTATTTTATTTTATTGTTGTTCCAGTAAAACATCTTCAATTTCAAGGGCTAGATCATCAAGAACCATGGCGGCCTTGCGGGTAAGCATTTATTTGAGCAATAATTATCTCGGTAAAATATTTAGACTTAATATGGGTTTGTGTGTAGTGTCAGCGTCGTCAGTGACACCATATAACACCACAGATGATAACAGAGATAAATAAAAGGGTATTTGAAGTACATGAAAGGTGATTAATGTCGCCGGCTAAAGTTGGTTGAGATTGTTTACGTTGATCAGCTGAGATTTGTTGTAGTGCTAAAGCCGTATTACACTTATTTACCTGTCTTAAATCCTTTACATTGAGTGATTGTTATTAGTATACTTGTGAGAGTGAGATAGTATTTAGTATTAAAGTATTGGTATTATTTTCTTGTAGCTCCGTTCATTCCTACCACTAATCTATTATCATAATCGAATAAGATGTCTAATTATAAGATAAGTTTCATCTATTACATTACCGGCGGAAATGCATAATAACGGAGATAGCTTTTCCAAAAAAATGTCTATTTTCTTCCATTAACATCGCGCCATTATCATCTGCCTCTCACCTAACACTGTGTCTCTCGCGTCTCCTTCATATATCATGACTCACATGCGTACCCGTACACGTTACGCGGCCAATCAAAAGCGTTTTTGCTAATTCAGAGTATATTTGGCCCAATCAAAATCGAGTTTTATTTTGGATCTCATATTTTGAAATTCGAGTTCAGTTCCGACCATGGAAGTCTGTGATGGATGTCACTTAAAGTATATGGAGCTGATTGCGAGTTTTTGGGAAAAAAATAACGTAGAAACTATAGCATTTTTTCGATCGCATGGTGTTCTTCCAACCTCAGTAAAGTGTACTAAGAGCAAGACTGAATGTAAATATCGCAAAGACCAACATATGTGACGTTGTGTAAGAATCCCAGAATGCAACGACGAGCAAGAACCAGGCCAATAAGGTAAGAAATAGGTGATTCCATCATCTGGTGAGAGTCAGTTAAGTTAGGTCAGGTCAGGTTAGGTTTGGTTTGGTTATTGTTTTTCTAGTGTTTTATTGTGTATTTGTTAGTTGCTTAGGCACTTTTTCTTCTCGGAAAGCGTCAAACGAAAAAAAATCGCTAAAAAAAAACAACGGCTAATTTCCGCCAAAAAGGAAGGTCATATTCGGTCTCGGCACACACAAATACACTAGACAAATATATTTTTAACTTGCTGCAAGTGAACGGAGCTACAAGAAAAATTTACCAAAGTATTTAAATATGTGATGGCATTCAGTATTAAAGTATATATATATGAGATAGTATTTAGTATTATATAAATATATTTTACTGTTGGTTATTTTGGTACTGTATTATTGCATTTACACACCGTTCATTCCTACCACTAATCTATTATAATATTCGAATAAGACGTCTAATTATAAGATAATTTCCATCTATTACATTACCGGCGGAAATGTATAATAACGGAGATAGCATATCGAAAATTTTCTCTATTTTCTTCCATTAATCTTCCTCCATTATCGCCTGCCTCTTCTCCAACACTGCATGTCTCCTGCGTCTCCTTCATAAATCATCACTCGCATGCGTTCCCGTACACGTCATGCAGCCAGTGAAAAGCGTTTTGGGTTTAATATCGCAGTATACTTGGCCCAATCAAATTCGAGTTTTATTTTGGGTCTCATATTTCGAAATTCAAGTTCAGTTCCGACCATGGAAGTCTGTGATGGGTGTCACTTAAATTATATAGAGCTGATTGTGAGTTTTTGGGAAAAAAACGAAGAAACTATACCATTTTTTTGATCGCATGGTGTTCTTCCAACCTCAGTAAAGTGTATTAAGAGCAAGACAAAGCAAATATCGCAAAGACCAACATATGTGGCGTTGTTTAAGAATCTCAGAATCCAACGACGAACAAGAACCTGGTCTCCAGGCCAATAAGGTAAGAAATAGGTGATTTCATCATATGGTGATAGTCAGTTAGGTTAGGTTTGGTTTTTGTTTTTCTAGTGTGTTTTGGTGTGTTTTTTATTCGCTTAACCATTAATTTTTTAAAAAAAGTCACGAAAAATATCGATAAAAAAAAGGTTAATTTCCGGTGGAAATTAAGGTCATATTCGGTCTAAACACACACAAATACACTAGAAAAATATATTTTTGACTTTCCAACAGAGTGGGAGGTGGAAGTGCAAATTTACCATTTAAGACATTTTCTGGACGTGAGATGATACGGCCGCATCGGTGCTATGCACCACGGGCGCCAGAGTGATTTTTTTTTTTTACGGGCATTAGCCCACCCGGGCACTGGTAATGACCCACATCAGGGCCTGGGGGCGAAAATATAATTATAAGTAATAATTATAATAATAATAATATCTATTATCATTATTATTACAACAGTTAATAAAATTAATAGCAAATTAATACAAATGAAATAATCAAAATAATAACCACAAATAAATACAAAATTGAAAAAAATAAATCCAGAGTGAGAAATTATATACATTATATATGTTGTGTTGTCCAAGTAAGAGAAACAATTGAGACCCTGCAATTGTGTGTAAATGAGGCAGAAAGTCAGATCAGCAACCTGGGACTTGGTCACAATTTTTGTGATGCCATTTGGCAACAGAGTCTACCATTAGACAACACATTATGCTTCCAATATCTTCCCAGGCAGTAGTACCTCCCTGTTTGATAGCGGGTTACACAATAAATGATTATCATATCAGAGCTCATTGATGAAAATGTTGTGAGAAAATAAACGATAATAAAAATAACTCGCTCACCGGTTAGTTCTATATACTAACCGATATTATTTTAGCTTCGGTCGTCTGGGGAATCGGTTAGGTTTGGTTGGTTAGCTTTTTAGATTTTTTTTAGATTGCCCCCGAGGGGGTTAGTATATTGGGCACCCCCTTACATCCTATGCAAGGTGAAGTGCTGAAACGTTTACAGCGCCCATCTGGGAAGCATGCTAAGTTCATACTTGCCTTTATGACTCGTGTATTAAGGGCGTAAAAGCCTGATGGGTCATAGGTCTTGTCAAGTTACATAAAGTGACAGAATGATGAGTGTGTGGGGGGAAAGTTCCCTGTACATTTCATTTGTTTATGGCAAAGTGTGGCAGGTCCCTAATAATGTCAAGTGCCAGGCCTGTCACTAGGGGAGGGATATCTGGTCAGGGAGGGAAGAGGTGTTGGTAACAGCTGGGGACCTGTAGGAGGAGGTCATAGGGCAAATGAGGATGTAGTGAGAGAGGGTGTGAGAGTCGGGTTGGCCACAAAGTTTACAGACAGTGCGGCCAGGCTCAGGGTTGCCAATAGGTACCTGTACCCTAGGCTCAGTCTCATGTACATAATCTGTTGAGATCGAGTCAGGGATTGATACTCTTTGTCGTGGCGGTTGTCGTCACCGGTTACAGCGTTATAGTGGCATAGTGTGACGCTACCCTGTTGTTTCAGGTGTTAGGTTGGTTAGGTTAGGGTAAAATGTTAGTATTGGTCATCCTTATGTTTTTCCGACGGGTTTTGACGTGTTTTGAATGATTTTGATGTAACCTAACCTAGCAACAGAACCCAGAAAACTATATCTAACCAAACATAAATGCCTACCGTAAGATTCCCCAGATGACCGAAACTAAAATTTTATCTTGGTTAATTTGGATATCAAAATACAGGGATGACCAAAACCAAAGTCCCTGGTAATTGTGTAGTGTAGTGTGTTGATGATAAAACTGGAGATACTATTTACTTAGAGGTCGAGGATAAGTATTTGAATAATATCTTGTTGTCTATTATGATGAGTGACAATTGAGTGATTTTCACCTAACCTGAACTAACCTAACTTGGTAATATTTGACAAGTGGTCTGGTCCTAGCACCAACTTGAGGAAATTTTTCCATAGAAAGTAAAATCTTTTTTACCTTAAGAAAACTGACAAAAGTGCATATTCCATTTTATGTATAAAGATGGCGGAGGAAGACAGCCAAACACAATCTAGCCATATGCACCAGGTTTAGACTAGGATAATTCTTTTTGCAGAGACGAATTTATTTTATTTTTGAAGAATACTTGTATAATAGAATCTGACTGGAGGTTTTTAAGTTAGGTTAGATTTGGCAGGTTACTTTTCTTATTTTTTTTAATGCTAAATTATGCACTGTTGGCAAGTAGCTTCTAGGTATGCAATAATTTAATGCTTCTGAACATGATCCAGTGTTGATCAAATCTGGCCTTAAATGAGCTTACACTCAGTGCTGTAAGAACTCTCTGGCAGGTTATTCCAAGAATTCACAACTTTTACTCCAGAGAAGTTAGCTCTGACAATTTTTTATAGTTGAGGTTGTGACCACTAGTGGGGCAGTCATCTGTAAGCTCCAGATATGAACACTTGACAAAGGAATGTTCTTTTGAGATGCTTACAAAACTAATATTAGATTATCCCATACCCTTTACCAAATTTATTTTACACTTATAGATCCTTTTGAAACCTGAAAATTCTAGATACAGCTTAGTATTTGTTGTAATTTTTTCTAAGAGGACCTTATAAACTACAGTTGCAAATAGAGAATGTGGCAAATGTATATTTTCTTGTCTTCCAACAGCTGGTGCAGAAATATGGTGTTCCCGTGGCCACAGCTGCCACCATTCCCATTCTTGCACCAGTTGTGTTTGCTGACTCGGGAAAAAAGGAGAGTTCGGCACCCACGTCCCGCATGGTTCGGCCATCAGAGCTACCGATTTATGAAGAACCAGAGGAAGTGCTCGAGTAAGTGTTAGGATTAACATAGGCTTCTGAGGTGTGTCTAAGCCAAGGCTTGAACCCTTGACATGCTGATGAAAATCATGTGCATTACCTCTATACCACCAACACCCCTACAATTGTTGCCTTAAAGTTGAGTTGTAGGTACAGTTAACCCTTGAAAACTCCGCCCTTGTCGAATTATCCCAAATTCCAAATTATCGAGGCACTTCCCGTCCCCACTACAACAATAAAACATTATAGGCCCATATACATGTACAGTCACGTTCAAGATTCTTCGAACACTGCTGGAAACCTGGCAACTCAAGGCCGTTTGTTTACTATACTACGTAGTAAAAATTATGAATGAATGTAAACGTGATCGGTGATTGGTTACTTAGTTCCCCGTTGCTTAATTAATGGTTGGGCTTTGTTGTTTCGCATTATATTATGCCTTTCTGCTAGTATGTACTGTTAATTTGATTTTAAAATGGATAGAGCAATGAGCCAACCTATATGAATTTATATTTAGATAAATAAACATAAGTAAAAATCGGTAAGTATGTTAAAGAACATCATGCATCGGGCACAGCTGTGTGCAGGCTGTTTATGAGGTTGCCTGTTTATCATTAATTTATACTAATATTGTCTTCAAACGTTTAATCCCTTTATGGTAATTAATCCAATTGTATCTAACTGATGCTAAACAAAACTTCTTTCTAAAGATGCTGATTTCTTGCAACACAAACTGCTGTTTTACTTCCCCCCCTCCTCTCTCTGTGTGTGTGTGTGTGTGTGTGTGTGTTATAATGACGTTGTTCAATTGAAGGTGATGGTAATTAATCTTACAAACCATCCGTCTGATGGTGTGAATTAGTACTGTAGCATATGCCTAATACTTTTACAAGCCATTATCTAGCAATATCATTGTCATTCCAAGACTATGAATATTGTAAACAGCAAATGGCATTTCTTTCGTAGAGTGACTCTTTGCGCCCTCCCCCCCCCCTAAATCCTTGTTTCTGACTTGTGTCGATTACGTCACGTTTAGTCTGGTGTCTTTAAAAAAAAAATTCAATTTTTCCAAAAATGTGTATGATGTATTATAAATTTGTATCTTATTTATTTATTTATTCGTTTATTTTTTATAAATGCATAATAAATATAAATATAATGCTGACGTTATTGGCGGGAAGGTGGGGGAGACAGGTGCTGTCAGTGCTGACTACCCTTCCACTCCCTCAATTGTAGAAGGACCCTGCCAACATGGAATACCACACGCAGAAAATCACTGAACGTGGAAGAATAATCGGCATGAAAGAGGCTGGGTTTTCACCCACTGAAATTGTACGAGAATTGGGTTTTTCTTGGTCAACTGTATATTATTGGATTAAGCGATGGGAAGAGGAGGGAAGTTTAAGGGACCACCACAGGATGGGAATGCCGCGCAGAACAACACTTGCACAAGTTGAAGCCATCCGGAATTTTGCTGAGGCCAACCCGTTCAAGACTTCATTTTCAATAAGAGAGGATCTACAATTAAATATTTCCCCTTTAACAATAAGGCGAAGACTTTACAAAGGAGGCAATCACCATAGAACTCCCGCCACCAAGGAGAAGTTGAATGAGCGACATCGCGAGGGCAGGTTGCAGTTTGCTCGACGGTATGCTGAAGAAGGCTTAGATTTCTGGGGAAGAATAATATTCACTGACGAAAAAACTTTCTCATCTACCTCTCACGGAAGGTTGCATTGCTAGAGGAGGAACAACACCCGATATGCTAGACAGCATATTTATGAGGAAGCAAGGAGTGGCCATGTGGCTTGCAATGTTTGGGGATGGATATATTTGCACGGAGTTGGAGAGCTGACTGACATAGAAGGAAGATTCACAACTGAACAGTATTTAGAAATACTCGAAGAAGTTATGCTTCCCTCGGTGCGTGCATATGCTTTCCCGTTTCCCGAAAACATAATTTTCATGCACGATAGGTGTTCTATCCATACCGCACAGATTGTAACGCGGTGGTTTGCAGAACAAAGAAATGTGCAAGTTTTAGACTGGCCAAGTAAAGGTTGTGACATGAACCCTATAGAGAACGTTTGGGGCAATATTGTGAACGTGTGGGAGCCAGCTGAAGAGAGAACCAGGGTGCAGCTACAGGCGCATACACACCGTGAGTGGGAGGTCCTGAGGCGGACACCGCAACTGATGCACAATCACGTCGCCTCCGTTCCCAACAGGCTGCAGCAAGTAATCGAGAATGAAGGTGGCTGGACTAAATATTAGTGTGTCAGAAATAATTTTCCTATGTAATCAAAGTCACACACTGAATGCATCTGAATATCTGTCAAATTGTATAATAAATGTAAAGAAAACAATCTTCTTCTAATATCCCCACTTGTGCAGTATGTATTCAGGATGATTTAAGTCAAACAAATCCTAGCATTATACTTATAATTATGATGAACGAGTACAGTATCATATATGATAAATAAATTGCATGTGAAATAATTACAATATGTACCACGTTAGTTTTTAGTTTCACAAATTTATTGACAAAGCTTGTAGTACAAGTACAGTTTGCCTATTCTGAGTAATTCAGTCAGGCTTTGACACCGAGGGTGGTCTCACTTCTCACTGCCACTCAGGACAGAGGTTTATATACAAAGAAATACAACATATTCATTAACAGCTATATATACAGTGACCCCTCGGTTAACGAACTCAATCCGTTCCAGAAGGTCGTTCGTTAACCGAAAAGTTCGTTAACCGAAACCATTGTTTCAATGGGTTTTGGGTAATTGGTTCCAGCTCACCGAAAATTTCCTAAATTCAACAAAAATGGTAGAACTGTTCACTCACTTTGAGGTGTGTATGTAGAAGGCTCCTGGATGATGATGATGATGATGGGATTTAGAATGGGGGTGGAGGAGAAGGAAGAAGAGAAGGCATTGGGGTGGATGAGAAGTCACCCCATGGCGTCATTTCACCCATAAAATTTTAGCTCTCTTGGTGTAATTCAAGATTATTTTCTTTAAATCAACACTGCACTGCATTATATATTGTCAATATGTAAAATATATTTCAAAATGACCAATAATTTGCTTGGAAACACAGAAAAAAAGCGTTTAGTTGAAGAGAGTCAAGCAAGATGTTACCTCCAGTGAAAACAGAGAGAAACTAACACCTGTTTGCTGTGTTAAGAGGCTGGATGCCGCGCATTAAACTAGTCACTTTACCTTCAATTATGTTCAATAATTGTTAAAATGACAAAAAAATTGAATATTAAACTTTTTAAATTATTGAATAGTATAAACTTCTTGATATTTACTAAAATAGTAAGTAATTTAAGCCCTAGAACCGATTAATGTATTGGCGGACTGATACTAAAGCTGGTTGCCAGATTCATCTGGGTAATGTCACTGTTCACTGCCATGCAAGACAGAGGTTCGTACACAAAGAAAGAAAGAAATACATCATATTCATTAGCAGTATATATAGGTCAGTGGTTCACATACATTGGACGTCATATTCTAATTGAAGACAAATCAGTGTGGGCTAGCAAATTTGGGATAAACAGCAAGAATGTCCTCAAGCACCCCCTATTCAATGTAGTAATTACAAAGGTCAACCACGGAATAAATCAGAGAGGGAGACGGAGACAAAGAAACAACTGTATAACGACACAATTCCTACAATATGTAATGGTCCGATCACAGCTGTCCGATCCGGCTCTTGAAGGCACCTAACCTAACGTCAGCGTTATATTTATATTTATTATGCATTTATAAAAAATAAACGGATAAATAAATAAATAAGATACAAATTTATAATACACCATACACATTTTTGGAAAAAATTGAATATTTTTTTTAAAGACACCACACTAAACGTGACGTAATCGACACAAGTCAGAAACAAGGATTTGGGTTGGGGGAATTGGGGGCAAAGAGTCACTCAACGAAAGAAATGCCATTTGCTGCGTACAATATGCATAGTCTTGGAATGACAATGATATTGCTAGATAATGGCTTGTAAAAGTATTAGGCATATGCTACAGTACTAATTCACACTATCAAACGGATGGTTCGTAAGATTAATTACCATCACCTTCAATTGAACAAGGTCATTATTAAATACAGACACAGACTGACTCACACATACATACACACGCACTCCACATGCACACACACACACACAGGAAAGTAAAACAGCAGTTTGTGTTGCAAGAAATCAGCGTCTTTAGAAAGAAGTTTTGTTTAGCATCGGTTAGATACAGTTGGATTAATTACCATAAAGGGATTAAACGTTTGAAGACAATATAAGTATAAATTAATGATAAACAGGCAACCTCATAAACAGCCTGCACACAGCTGTGCCCGATGCATGATGTTCTTTAACATACTTACCGATTTTTACTTATGTTTATTTATCTAAATATAAATTCATATAGGTTGGCTCATTGCTCTATCCATTTTAAAATCAAATTAACAGTATATACTAGCAGAAAGGCATAATATAATGCGAAACAACAAAGCCCAACCATTAATTAAGCAACGGGGAACTAAGTAACCAATCACCGATTACGTTTACATTCATTCATAATTTTTACTACGTAGTATAGTTTAACAGACGGCCTTGAGTTGCCAGCTGTCTCCAGCAGTGTTCGAAGAATCTTGAACGTGACTGTACATTTAATTACTATTTTTCAAAACGTAACACTTACCAACAATGCCGGTGAAGAATGAAGCATTGCAGTAGGTGACGGAGGCATGGTAGGTGACAGAGGTGGTGGAAATTATGGAGTGGAGATGCTATGTAAACAGTGAGCAGTGTGGTCCATATGTCCAGTATACTACTGTAATTTGTTCACTTATACAAAATAAAGAATTTGATTTAACTTAAAACACTAAGAGTACTATACTTGCAAGGCGAACGGCGGTGTTTTGAATGTCCATGCCTCGTACGTTGATGTCAAATGCACATTCTTGCTTGTACCATATGTACACAGCTAAGTCTGTCACTAAACTTTGCAGGCTTATCCTTTACTGCACTCTTTCTGAGCTGCCAGGGTCCAAACTTAAAGAGTGGTTTTGAATATTGTCCTAATTCTTTTTTGTGTCATAAAAGGTGCTGGATTTGATCCCAAACTCCCACACACCATATGCCCTTCCTATAGCTCCTTGAAGGTGCAGATGCCATATCAATAATGTTTGAAGAGGCAGAGGACAAAGTGTAGAGAGACTGCCAGCTCACACCCGTCCCCAACAATAACACACACCAGACTGACCAAGCGCACTGCGATGAGTAATAGTCACCATTTTCCATGCGGCTAAATATGCCAAGATTTTATAAGATCATTTTATATAATTCGGCAATTCCCAAGTTATTTTTTAATAAATTCCGAGAGTATAGCCGTGCCGAATAACTTAAAATTCCATGTTATCAAATGCCAAGGTATCAAGGGTTTACTGTACAAGGTCTGTCCAAAAAGAAACCGAACTATTTCAATAGCGCGCCAATGAGCTGGCGCAGCTTGCTCGAGACAGGAGCGCTGTGTAGCGGTGACCTTCACCTTTAGTCTTATACTGACCGCATCACGCCAAGTCAATTACAGTGGTCCCTCGGTTAACGAGCACAATCCGTTCCAGCAGGTTGCTCGTTAACCGAAACCATTGTTTCAATGGGTTTTTGGGTAATTGGTTCCAGCTCACCGAAAATTGCCTGAATTCAACAAAAAAGGTAGAAAAGTACACTTACTTTGAGGTGTGTATGTAGAAGGCTCCTGGATGATGATGATAATGGGAATTAGAATGGGGGTGGAGGAGAAGGCGTTGGGGTGGAAGAGAAGTCACCCCATGGTGCCATTTCACCCATAAACTTTTAGTTCACTTGGTGTAATTCAAGATTATTTTCTTTAAATCAACACGGCACTGCATTATATATTGTCAATATGTAAAATAAATTTCAAAATGACCAATAATTTGCTTGGAAACACAGAAAAAAGCGTTTAGTTGAAGAGAGTCTCAAGCAATATGTTACCTCCACTGAAAAGAGAGAGAGACTGGCACCTGTTTGCTGTGTTAACAGGCTGGATGGTGCGCCAGAAACTAGTTTCTTTACCTTCAATTATGTTCAATAATTGTTAAAATGACTAAAAAATTTAATATTAAACTTTTAAAATTATTTAATAGTATAAACTTCTTGATATTTACTAAAATAGTAAGGAATTTAAGCCCTAAAACCGATTACTGTATTGGCAGACTAATACTACAGCTGGTGGACTGCCAAATGCAAGCGAAAACATGTTGAGGTCGCTTGTAAAAAACTCGTTAATCGAGGGATTGCTCGTTAACCGAAGTTAAGAGTCTTATGGAAGGTAAATTGTAAACCAAAATTTCGTTAACCGAGGGATCACTGTAGTCATCGAGCTACACGCGCTAGAGGGAACGTGTGTTTAGTGCACTTGGCGATTTGTTGCAAGTTGAACAATGAAGGATCTTGAAGAGCAACGTGTTCGCGTGAAATTCTGTTTCAAATTGGGAAAGCTTTTAAGGAGACTTTTCAAGTGTTGCAACAGGCTTTTGGGGAGGATTGTTTGAGCCGTAAGCAATGTCACGTGTGGTACCTGTATTTCAAAAGGGGAAGAACATCCACCAAAGATGATCACAAATCTGGATGTAAGAGTCGCTCAAATGTGGAGGTGATGTTGATCGTCTTTTTTGATTGGAACGGCGTCGTTCATCATGAGTTTGTTCCACGTGGTCAGACAGTCAATAAAGAGTTTTACTTGGAGGTCCTGAAGTGTTTGAGGGAGGCAGTGCACAGGAAGAGGCCTGAGGCGTGGACAAACAAGACCTAGATGCTGCATCATGACAATGCACCTGCTCACGCGTCGCTCCTTATCCGTGACTTTTTGGTGAAGCACGAGACGACTATCGTTCCCCAGCCGCCCTACTCTCCGGATTTGGCCCCTGCGGACTTTTTTTTGTTCCCAAAGTTGAAATCCACCCTGAAAAGTCGCCGATTTCAGATGACAGAAGAGATAGAAGAAAATTTGCTACGAGACCTGCGCACCATCCCATTCCAGGACACGTTCCAGAACTGGAAAAAACGTTGGGAGTGGTGTATCAACAGTGGAGTGGAGTACTTTGAAGGAGACAAGTATGATTAAGTTGTAAGTGAAACAATTTTTTTTTTTTTTTAAAGTTTGGTTTCTTTTTGGACAGACCTTGTATGTGGTGCACAGTACTGTGGTAGATGTAGATATATTTGTAACAGTTTAACGTCCAAACTACTTTATGTAGAATTTTATACAGTACAGTATACCATAAGGTGAGTTGACTTTGGACAAAATTCAGAAAAGTATTTGGATGAGAGTACCATACAGTACATGCTCACTGGTGTTGTTTTCTTTGATTCATTCAGTATCCTGGTAAAAAGATTATTTTATTGCAGCTTTGAATATCTTGGAAAGGAGAGGACAGCCTTGGAGGAGAATGTTGGTGTTGTGAGGAAGGAAATTGAGGGTGTGTTAGAAGCAACGCGTTCTGTTAGAGAAAGAACAGTCAACATCTATGAAACTGGCAAGGCCCACACCATGGGTAAGATTATTTAAATGTTCAGTACTGTATATGTGTAAATGCCTGGGACTTTGGGATAGAAATCCCTTACCAGACTAATCAGGTTCTTAATAAAGGAAAGTCAAGGACCATGGTTTTCTGAGGAATAGCAAACAACCGTTTGAGACTGACATCTCTTGACTATAAAAAAAAATATAATAAAACTCTGACACCACTCAACAAACAACAAATAATTACGGGAGTCAAACAATTAATGCAGTCAATAGTTAATGGAGTTAATCAATTAAGGGAAGCAAACAATTAAAGGAATCAAACAATTAATGGGATTCAGCAATTTATTGATTCAAACAATTAATTGGAGTCAACAATTGATAGAATCGAACAATAAAGGGGAGTCAGCAATTAATGGAATCAAACAATGAACAGATATTTCCTACGGCAGTGGCCCTGGGGGAAGGTTCTGGAGCACGGTGATGCACCCTCAGGGTAGGGAAGCATCCATTCAACTCCACACTCGAGCGACAGCGACCGATTGTCTTGAAATGGCAGAACACTGGGGCACAGACAGAATGAGATGAATTGACGGTCGTGGTATGTGGTAGTGGTAGATGACCAGAGAATTGACAGTCAATAGGTGAAGGTCTGGGGACACAGCCGACGAGTCCAGGACCTATGATGAGATCACAGCCAGAATTTGACGAACAGCGGGGTAGCTAGATAGTGACTGTACGGCGGCTGGGTTGAATCTGCCGGTGACCCAGATAGTCGCTGCCGTTCTCACTTCTGTCCAACCGCCCCAAGTGTCGTCGCACCAGCAAACAAGCGAGTAAGCAGCGGTAACGAGCAGGAAGATAGTTTCTGCCCTTACAATATGGAATATGAGTACAGTATGTGCATTCCTTCTCTGTTGGACGACTAATTGATACTAAATTATTGCTTTAATTTAAATAAATAAATTTTAATTGTGCTTTACTGTGCAATACAGTAATGCTATATTGAATACAGTATACAGTAGTCTCAAATTACGCGGTCAATTAAACCCGTGGAGGTCCGCGTAAAACGAGAAACGCGTAAACAAAATAACAGAACATATGGGATAAATTGAAATAGAGACTGGGCCGACCCCCAGACTGCCCTTTTTCCGACACAATACGTATATTGTAGTAAAAATAACATCTTAATTTTATGATGGTATGCACAAACAATTAATATATAAGAGAAATATCAATAATGTTAGGTTTTTTAGCGCATATGTTAGTAGAAGAGATGGCTGGGCACACGGGGATGGGTGGCTGGTTGGTTCCGAGGCAGAGGGCAGATTAGTGGCCCTCAGGTGAATCACTTGTATCACCTGTATCATTATCCACCACAGAGGCTACCAGGGCCTCTTTTTCAAACCTCTCAAAGTCCATATCCTCACTATCACTGACTTGGGCTGGCTGTGGCGGGTGAAGAACTCGGTAATGTTTTGTTGACTGGGCAAGCAAGGTTAAATAAATCAATCACAGCGCTCGGTGGAGGGAGTGCGTGGGTGATAAGGATACGTGGCCCAATCACAGTCCGAAACGTTATCTGACGTCAGAGTGACCTTGTCCGCGCCGCTTCCCGCGTAAATGCTGGAATGTACCGCGTACCTAATAATTGGCTCGTCTGGACAGGTGCTGCGTAAATGACCAACCACGTATAAGAAATCCGCGTAAACCGAGACTATACTGTACTGTACAGTATATAAATATTACTAAGCACATTACATAATTCAATGAACATTAGCTGCCCATACTACAAACTTCATAGTATAAGCATTTCAAACAATATTGGTATTATTTTGCTTTTGGGCATCTGGGGAACCTTAAGAATCTAGCTATGAGATTAAGAATTTTAAGCAATAAGACAAAATATCTCTGGGATTTGTGTTGCAAAACGTTTTTCTATCATATGTTAGGTTTGGTTAGGTATGATAAGTTATAAGGTTAGCTTAACATACATCAGTAAGGGGTGGGTAGTAACTCAAAACTAGTGATTTCCGATAGAAATTAAGGTCAAAATCGTTCATAACACATCCGAAACCATCAGAAAAAACATATTCTCTATGTCTAAGTACAGGGATAACCAAAACTTAAAATTTGCCCAATATAACCTACGGTATCTCAAATCTAAGCATCCAAATACGTAGTTAAAGTAAAATTTTACCCATTAATTAATATAAATGATGATATATTCCAGTGGTTCATTAGTGAATCATCAAAACAATAACAGCACTATGTGGTCATGTTTACCTAGCATAAGGAATTCTCAAAACAAATTCCAGACAATGTCACTACTTCTTAATTGACTCAAATCTCCATCCGTACGCCGTTTGCAGGGTGGTAAGTTCAAGTCTGTTGCCAATCTTTGCTGGCCCTATCACATCAAGCATGACAGTCAGACTCACAGACTTAGGCAACTTCTTAGGGGCAGCAGAAGAGAAACTATGTATCACTAGGGCATTTAGGCATGATTGTGTAACACATAAAGTCAGAGACAGAGGAGTAAGTGTAAACACGTGCAGTGAGGCAGGACTGATTTAGAGGCAACACATAGGGCCCTCTCGTGGCAAGAATTCGCACAGCGCCAGTCCACCAAATTTTAAACATTTCTGCCGATCCTACCCCCATCGTCGGATCAACGGGGTAGTCAACGAAACTTGCAGGTAATTTCCCCAATATGTAATTGTCAGTTATGCAAAGCATCAGTGAATGGGATTTCGGTTTATGGGGGTATACCTGTAATGTTCTTGTCATATTTTTGCTCCATTGAATGTTACAAAAATTTTGGTCATTGTAAATTTTTCAGGTCAGTGTGATATCTCTATTTTGAGGATAATTTTTTAATCTCTACTTATCCAGTAGCATCAAGTGAAAGTCACTTAGTTTATTTTTAAAATTAGTAGTAATTTTATGATACTGTAGTGTGAAGTACTGTACAGTGTTGAGAGAACTGAACATTATGATGGCACGGATATCTTGTTTGATCCTCTTGGTTGATACAGATTTTTAAGATTTATCAATAATATAAATTTTCCAAACTCTGCTTACCATTTACCCTGTACAGTAATTGTTAGTCATTATTTTGGCATCTGCTGTTAGGTCATGTTTCTCATATGATGACTTATGCAGTGTATTTTTGTCATGGTATTTTGTTATTAATCACTTCTCTCTCATTGGCACATATGGTATTGTTATGTGAGTGTGTTTTGCCTATTTTGTAAGCTTACTCTTAACACCTTGCCTCTTTTCATGTTTCACACTCAAGTCAGTCTGCACAGTCCAGCTAATGCTTGTGTTGTTTTGTGTATATTCCATAGCCTTAGTGGATATGATGAAAGATCTTCGGTACTCCGAAGGTTTGTTAGAGTACTTTTCTTTACATTCTTATTACAGTGAAGCCTCCTTATAACAGATTTCTCTCTCCATATGATCCGTCAGATGCAGGTTCCTTGTCTAACGTACTATCAATACACAGGGGGTCCCCGGGTTATAAACGGGTTCCGTTCCTGAGTACGTTTGTAAGTCGGAACATATGTTATATGCATACCGTACTTACAAAACAATGTTTAAAATCCCACTTTATCATAGCCTAAGTCCTTATAGACATCTAAAATCACTTAATTTAAGACAAAAGAAGAAATAGAATGTCAAAATACAGTAAGTGAAAGTAAAAAATAATTCATCAGGTAAATAAAATACAAGACTGTAAATTTCAAGTTTAACCCCGTTTGTATCAGCGGGCTGTTCATAAGTCGGGCACCTCCTGTAATGGACTTTCATCTCTATGTAGTTAATTAGATGGAGGTGTCACATATAATGGACCCTCGATATAACAGACTTTTCTTTGCACATAGGCCATTAAATATAGGTTTCACTGTAATATCTTTAGCCAACACTGTTAGTGAATACATTATGTAAGGGGTTGTTTAAGAGAGAGGATGTTAGCAAGATATCTTGGTGGGCCCTCTCCAATCTCATATATTTTCGTGTGTAATAGCTGGTAGTTTTTTTTTTTATAGAATAGATAGAGACCTGAAGAAAAATAATACTGAGCATAGTTTTGTCTTAACCCCATCATTATGGGTACGTCACTCTTGATACTTTATTTTGTTAAAGCAAGATGATTTTATTCTTCTGAGAGGCGATCTCATACACAAGGGATTAAAACCTGTTAGAAGTGCTCCACCACAGTTTCCATTTGTTTGTTTCTTGGTTGTGACATTTCAGATGGTCCTCACCCACACTTTCCATTCAGATCCATAGAGTTCTGTCTTGTATTTTTATTGTTGATGGATGAGTGTTTTACTTATTACACACTTAATGATCATAGTAGAATCTGAATGAATGGAAAATTTTCTTCTTTGTAGTTGCAGGTTGTAATTATATTTAAACATCTTTGTGATACTGTATATGGTTTGAGAAATAATTAGTATGATACATATTAATAATTAAAGATATGAAAGTCCATTAGAAAATGTTGTGCTGCATTAGCCTCATACTTACATCCTCTGAAAGCTGAAAAGCCACTGATAATCTCGTCTGCATTCACTTGGTATAGTCTCCATGCTAACATGATGTTACCAAATGCCTTATTTTGTTAATAAATTTGTTATTTTGATTTTCTTACTTTATGTAAGTGGTTGTTCTTAAATGAATGCATAAGTTATAGAATTATAATACAGGCAGGCCCTGGGTTACGAGCAAGTTCCGTTCCTATGGACGTTCTTAAGTTGAAAATTACTTAAAGTCGAATCACATACCCTATGCTTTTTGTTTTTTTTACAGGGATTAGCCCACAAGGCACAGGTCACTGACCCACATCGGGCCTGGGGGGTGAAAATTTAACAATAATAATAATAATAATAATAATAATAATAATAATTAGGTCATAGTAAATAAAATTTATAAAAAAATAAATAAATAAAAATAAAATAATAATAACAACACTGGTGATAATAATAATAATAATAATAATAATAATAATAATAATAATTATAATAATAAAGAACCATAAAGAAATACTGTACAAAAATTAAAAAAAAAGATTAATAGTGGAAACGATACCTCTGTGTTATGTGTAAATGTGACAGAAAGTCAGGTCAGCAACCTGGGACTTGGTCACAATTTTTGTGATGCCATCAGGCAACAGGATCTACCATTAGACAATACATTATGCTTCCAATATCTTCTCAGACGGTAGTACCTCCCTGTTTGATAGCTGCCTATTACCGTACTTACAGGACAATGTTTAAAATCCCTCTATATCATAGCCCAAGTCTATATATACATAAAAAATCACTTAATTTAAGGGAAAAGAAGAAGTCAAGTGATAAAGTACAGTAAAGGAAAGTAAAAAATAAGTTATCTTACCATCTAGGTAGATATTGGAAGCATAATGTGTTGTCTAATTTGCCTTGGTGAACTAAATACTGGAAATTTTTTTAACTTTATGGAGCCTCATTCGTATTGGCAGATGTTCGTAAGTCAGACGTACTTAACCCGGGTACCTCCTGTGTAACATTAAAAGGCTTAGTGATAATTCAGCTTAAAGCAGGATAGAGGTAAAGATAGATGGTGTAAGTGGTAACTAGATATTAAGGTGTTGAGGAATAGAGAATGGAGACAAGTAATATGGATGGATGTGAGGAGTTCCACAGCAAGTGATGAGGGTGCTTGTAGATTTTTCATTGTCATTTCCATGCCTCGGGCAATTAGTGGCTTGGAGTACACTACAGCTAACTTTTTGGTTGGGGGTTTCATTTATGTTCTCATTTAGCTGTAGTGAGATGTTTGCATCCAGTGGGCAGATACATACCATGTACAGTATATACACGTATACTGTATATTTTTTAAGTTTGTCTGATAGTGCATCTGTGTTGTTCTAAATGCTTATTGTAAATTCTTTTTGTTTCTGATTAATTACCATCACACCTTATATAGTGTTAAATAGCTTTAAGACACATTGAAAATTTATTTCTTAACTAGATTGCGTAGTACATGCCGGGTATTGTATTTTTTCTTCAGTTATAAAAATGTTCCCGAGTACAGTATATTAGTTTAACACAATTTATCATCCATCAGGTTTGTAAAGAGATTGAATTCTCTCTGGTAAAATTTTGTTTAAGTATGGATTGTTATATTGTCTTAATATTTCCACACAACTTAGTGTTTGATTAAGAGAAGCATCTCAAAAAATTTATCATCTTTTCCAATGTACAGGGTATGTAAGAGTTGTGGAAGGTGTTAGTCCCTACGTAACATGTCATATCATTTTGCTATTCATTGGAGAAATTGGAACCTAATAGGTGAGATAATTGAACCACCTGTGTAGATGAGCTCTTACTGTACTGTACATGTGTGTGTGGGTTAAAATGTGTAGTTAGAATCTTCCTGTTTGTGTGTTGTAATGCACACTCTATATTTTGTAATTTAACCTCCCTTTACTTGACTCATAAATTCTTTTGTATATTTCATGCTGTAATACTGCTTCATTGTGGTACACATATCCTTTTATCTACGTGGGTTTAAACATTGCGGCCGTCGCCACTTCGCAGCTTGCACTACGGGTTGCATGGGGAGCAGGGGAGGTGGTGTACGTGTGTCTAACAACTTCCACTAATGGCAGCGGTTACATTGCCCTGAGTGCTACGAGTGCTGCTAGCAAGACACTGTATCTTAGAGACAGAATATGCACCACTGTTCTTCATAATTTTATATAATTTTTTTTTAATTTCTAAGTCACATTAGAGCAAGAGTTCCCAAGCATTTTCCAGTGCAACCCAGAGTCATTACATTATATATATAAATATTTGTAGAATAAATATGGACATATTTTTACATGTATTTAATTGTAAAAACAAATACAGTAAAGAAAAGATATACATACAGTAATTGAGACGTGTAAAAGTAAACACTGGCAGAAACAGGTTACAACTCTGTCATGATTTTATCATCCTTTACTGGTCTATATCTGGGTGTATAATTGTGTGGTTAAGCAACATGACATACAGTTTTCTTAGTTTCAATTCTGTCATATTTCATATGTAACATGTGGATTATCATTTGATTAATCTTAATGCCTGTTACATCAGTCATAATTTATATGTGACGGGTGCATTACTATTTAATAAATTTTCTGTTAACTGGGAGTATAATTATGTGGTTGAACAACATACGCTACAACTGTGTCATATTTCATATGACTTTTGTACGTCATTTGATTAATTTTCTATACCTGGGGGTATATGAAGTTAAGCAACATGGCATACAATTTTCTCTCACAATATATCATTGTTTACAGTGAACCCTCACTTTACGCGGTTAATTGAACCCACGGCGGCCTGCGTAAAGTGAGAAACGCGTAAAGTGAACAACATAACATATGGGATTAATTGAAATACAGACCAGGCCGACCCCCAAACTCCACTTTTTCCCGACACAATACGTACGTTTTACTAAAAATAACATCTTAACTTTATGATGGTATTCACACACACATAATATAGAAGGGAACAATCAATAAGAGAATAATAAACTGAAAGTTAGGTTAGAAAAAAACAAGGTTGGGGTTAACACTTACGTTAGTAGAAGAGATGGGTCGGCGTAGGGGAATGGAGGCTGGTTCCGAGGCAGAGGGCAGGCTACTGGCCCTCAGGTGAGTCTTCATCGGTGTCATCCACACTTACTAGTGCCTCCCTGACAAATCCCTCAAAGTCATCATTGTTTACAGTGAACCCTCACTTTACGCGGTTAATTGAACCCACGGCGGCCTGCGTAAAGTGAGAAACGCGTAAAGTGAACAACATAACATATGGGATTAATTGAAATACAGACCAGGCCGACCCCCAAACTCCACTTTTTCCCGACACAATACGTACGTTTTACTAAAAATAACATCTTAACTTTATGATGGTATTCACACACACATAATATAGAAGGGAACAATCAATAAGAGAATAATAAACTGAAAGTTAGGTTAGAAAAAAACAAGGTTGGGGTTAACACTTACGTTAGTAGAAGAGATGGGTCGGCGTAGGGGAATGGAGGCTGGTTCCGAGGCAGAGGGCAGGCTACTGGCCCTCAGGTGAGTCTTCATCGGTGTCATCCACACTTACTAGTGCCTCCCTGACAAATCCCTCAAAGCCATCATCACTGTCTCTGCCTCTGTCACTATCACTGGCTTGGGCTGGCTGTGGTGGGTTGCGGGCGAAGAACTCTGTCATGCTTTGCTGACGGCTGGTGTTTATGTTGTCGTGATAAACCTTGATGTAGGGCTCCATAGTCTGCAACAGCTGGGTAGTGAAGATTTCACACCTGTTAGCGTCAGGGTCGTCGGAAAGGAGGAGCTTGACTTTCT